ATTTTATTTTATTCATGTTCGTATTTTGTAGAATGTTATGTTCATTGTTTTTTAGTATGAATTTCTGTCATTATTGTTTTTTCTTTGACTTGTTTGAAATTTATTTTAGTTATTTTAGTTCATTTTGTTAATTAGTGCGTAGTGCCTAGATTGTGCAATTCGTAGATTTTTTTTAAGTTGAAACAGAACGCTGTGTACATGGTATTCTTTGAAATTTATTGCTGTTATTTAATTTATTAAAGCGAGGTGCGCGTAATTCGTAGATTCTTTCGCTGCCTAAATTGTGCAATTCGTAGATATTTTTTCAAGTTAAAACATATCATTGTATACATGAATTCTTGTCAAATATTTTTGGTTAGAAACTTTACGTTTTTGCTATCTAAATTTTTTGTTTTTGTTTCGGATTTTTAGCTTAAATTGTGTGTTCAAAACTTGGTTTTTGCATTAGCTAAAACCGCTTTTTTGGACACATTTTAGGCTTAAAGTTCGAAATGTAAACAAAAAATTTAGATAGTAATATGGCACCGTGGATTTTCTCGCCAAAAACGTTTGGCGAGAAATTTGGTGACTTGAGGGCGCATATAAGAGTAGTTCCTATTTTTGCTTAAGTATGTTTTGAAAACTATTTAATAGGCAAAAGTTAAAATTTATTTAAAATAATTTTCATTTCGTTAATAAAAAATTTTCAGTTTTGCTAAAAAATATTCTGGCCAGTCAACTGTTTTCAGATCGCGTCTGCGGCCTGCTAGGAATTTCTGTTTGAGACCACTACTCTAGGGGCCCTATCTGATTTATTAGTTAACACCTGGTGTATTGCTTGTATGTCAGAAACACAGTAGTGATAATTCCAATACTAATTCCAGAGTAAAATTTCAAGTTTCGATAATAAACTTCATATAGTTTTTGCCCAATAGAGTAGCAGATGGTAATAACTTTGTACTCTCTCCGTTAAATTCTGAAATACTGTGATTTTGTCAATCCCGGGATATTATGGGAACTAGTTTAACACGAGACAAGAATAAACGCAATTTTAGAAATTTGGCTTGGAGTAAAGTTTTTAAATCACAAAATTTGAAATGCGATTATAACTTTTTGTTTTCCTCGGATATAAATTATAGATAATGTCTCTGATTTGTTTCAGATTAGTGCGATAATCTATTGATCTGCCTCTACTGTACTAAGTAAAGGCGAATCCATTATTATTATTATTATTACTATTATTATTATTATTTTCTTTTTACGTTGGAGGTCAGTGTTTGGATTAGGAGAGAAATATTTTTAAGACAATCCTCAATAATCTTCATCAATCATTCATATCTTTCTCAGTATCAGTGGTCCTCCTCTTCATATTCAAGCAGTTGTACGGAGAAAGAAGTTTATATTCATTTTCCTAATGAAATTCCATACTGAAAAATTTGCTTTCCTTAACGCGTTTTTTTTTTTTTTTTTTCTTTTCTTTTTTTTTTAATTAAAGATTGTTTAGAAGTTTTCGCTTTCCTTCCAGTAAAGCAACCTAAAGTTTATTCTTTTCTTTGCATATTACAGCACAAAATTATTAATTATTATTATTATTATTAATATTATTAATATTATTATTAATTATTAATATTTTATGCTTTTACATATCAGTTATCAGCGTCGGTAGTTTCCTTTCTGCGCTCAGCCATGATATTGTGATTGATAATGATTATTGAGTATGAACAAAACTAAAAATGTTTGCAAAAGTATTTTACTAATCTAACTTATGTTTAAATGCTTCTAATATAATGCGCATTGTAAATAAACAAATATTATTAATTTATTAAACTTTTTTAGTATTGAGAAGTGTTTGTGAAAATTATAATCTATTTGACAGATAAAGAATATGTAAAATAAAATTCTGTCTTTAGTTCTGCAACTAAAGTGATTCTGTAATAAATTTGTAATTAATAATTTTCTTTAATTTAACTAAATCTTTTTTTAATTCATTATTTCCTTTTATATCCTAAAAATATCAGCATGCTTACGATAAAATTTTCTGAAAAAAAATATTTGTTATATGATTCTTCAAGTAAATAAATAAACAAAGAACCATAAGTTTACTTTCTTTACTGTACTCGTTTCGAGTTTCTACGAATTTCAAATGAGTGTTATAAAGACTTTTTGCGGATACAGAGAAAATTTATAAAAATAGAATTTTTAGCCCAAAGTGGCAGTAGCCCAGAAGGGCTATTAGTCTCAAAACGCATCGGACATCGTTGGTGGTTCTTGAGGCATCAACCGCTAGGAGTTTTGACCTCTAGGTTGGCGCTGCGGTCTGAGGGCTTTGGCTGGAAATAGTGCTTTTGCGCTACTTAGATTAGTATCTAAGTTAAGCACACACGAAAATGTTATTTGCTGTATGGGAAATGCAAAAAATAAAGTTGAAACTTAATAAACATAGATGAAGTTATTATATATCAAGAAACTGTATTCTTGCTATGTGGACTTGAAAATTATTTGCCAAGTATAAATGCGCTAACACTAGAATAATAAAAATGCATTATTCTAGTGTTAGCGCATTTATACTTGGCAAATAATTTTCAAGTAATAATATGAGTTGAAGTAAGGTATAAGAAAGTCCTACCGCTTTGTCTGGGGCTCAGTCCGTTTATTTGCAAGGGTTACAGCCGAAAACATCGCGGCAAAAACATCGCAGACGAAAATGTCGCGGAGAAAACAACGCAACGCGAAAACGTCGTGCTACAAAACATCGTGGTAGAAAACATCGCAAAGAGAAAACATCGCAGTTTTAAAACATCGTGGTACAAAACATCGTCGTCGAAAATAAAGCGGTTCAAAAAACATCGCAGTTTAAAAACATCGTAGTCGAAAATATCGTGGTAAAAAATAAAGTATCTACAAATCATCGCATGACGATAACATCGCAGATATGCTTTTTTCAGGCATGCTTTAATAAGTGTAAATGGATATTCCCATAATGATTTGTGAGCGCAAGATGGAAAGAAGGATAAATTTTACTTTCATATTTTTTATTAATTAATAAATTTTTGCTGAGAAAATAAAAAGGAAACTTAAGCATAAAAAATTAATGCAACTTATAGCACTTAATAGAATTTTAAACCGACATAGTTAACTAACAAAGGCCATTAATAAATCATTTTTATAAAGTTTTTACTGGTAATATTTCATGAAAAGTATAATCTATAAGTTACATTTAATTTTCTATGCTCAAGTTTCCTTCTTACGTTTTCAGCAAAAATTTATTAGTTAATAAAATATGCGAAAGTAAAATTTATCCTTCTTTACACCTTGCGCTCACAAATCATTATGGGAATATCCATTTGCACTTATTAAAGCATGCCTGAAAAAAGCATGTCTGCGATGTTATCGTCATGCGATGATTTGTAGATACTTTATTTTTTACCGCGATATTTTCGACGACGATGTTTATAAACTGCGATGTTTTTGAACCGCTTTATTTTCTACGACGATGTTTTGTACCACAATGTTTTAGAACTGCGATGTTTTCTCTTTGCGATGTTTTCTCCCACGATGTTTTGTAGCACGACGTTTTCGCGTTGCGTGTTTTCTCCGCGACGTTTTCGTCCGCGATGTTTTTGCCGCGATGTTATCGGCGGACACCCTTTGCAAGTTATATGAAAGCTGAATACATAATAAATGAAAATGCAAAAAGATTTAGAGAATTCAAAACAAAAATCCTAATGCTTTGCCAGTTAAATCACATAATATCTGTTGCTTTGATGAAATTTATTATTAACTATGTGCAGGCAGAAAAACGAGGTTATTGAATTTTTGGCCTGCGTTGGCGAAGTTAATTATTCATCATAGTCCTTTTACTATGATAAATAGTACGAGGACCCTTGAATGGATGCACAATTATTGGATCATAGTTTGCGAATTGTTGCGATATGATGATGTTCTGAATTTTGTACACTTCTCAAGAAGTTATGAGCAGTCATTAATAAATAATCTTGGGCATGAGGAATTTTTAAATAATGATTTCTGCCAAACGACGGTGAATTTATTAGGCTTCTAAGGATTTTATTTTGGAAGACGATGATCTTGCAACGATAATATTTTGTCGAGGGGGCCCTAACACGGAGCTGCATAAAAAAGTACTGGCCGAATTAGCGAATTTTTTAATAATTTCAACGATTACAAAGAGATCAATGGCAGCACTCTACGGAAAAATTTACGGAAAAATCTACGGCTGTTTTCAATAAATATTTTGTGATGTTGCTGTTGAATTGAGTTTTATGTGGTTTAAATGCGAAGAACGTGATATTTAATAAATAAAGGTAACACAGAAAACATTAAAAAAATGCCCCTTTGGGCGTAATATAGAATGTAAAGACTTTCAGATTTTTAATTTGTTTTATTATTATTATTATTATTATTATTATTATTATTTAAATTGAATAACTAAGCACTTAACTAACGTGATTTTATCATCGATTTCTTAAGAGTTTGATGTCTGATGGCAAGTTTAAAAAGATTTGTAATCATCATACTTTAATTTTTTTTAAATCGGCGGAAATTGCTTAATTAAATTTGCATTTCGAAATTATATAACAGAAGATATATTTTAATACAAATTAAAATTTTTCATCTTTCGAGAGAAAATAAAAAAAAAAAAAAAAAAAAAAAAAAAACAAGAAAGAAGATTGTTTAAGATCAAACTAATGAAAATTTTGAAAAGTGGATATTTTCGAAAAGCGCAACAACGGTTTTCAGTTGCTTATTTCTGATAACAATACTCTTTATTTTATGGTTACAAAATCCAACACATGATGGCGCCACATATTAGCCCTTAATAATAGCTTTGGTGACGAAGAGATTTCGTGGCTTCTTTCTGTGATGAAGTGATGATGCATAATCGTTCAAAGTAGTGTTTTGGGGGTAAATATTTTCTACCTAAATTAGTTGTCCTTTTTATTTACTATTCCGGTTTTTTTTTTTTTAATTTCCTTTTATTTTTTTTGTAGGTAGCAGAAAAGTACCATTTTGTTTTCTGATACAAATATCATTTTATGGTATTTGAATATGTTGACTGCATCGTGTTTGTTGTATTCAGTGTTATTATTATCGAAAACATGAAAGCGGCTTCAGTTTGCTGTCAAACAGTCATATGTTTTTGTAGACGGTGTGGCAAGTTGGTTTATATATAGAAAAAAACAGTATTATATGCAAGATCTTTTTTCCTCGGTAATTTTGAATCATTTTGCATGTATGCATGCTGTATGTTTACATAAAATTTTATAATTACATTTGGATAAGCAGGTTTAACCCCCCCCCTAAAAAAAATCTGCATACTTATTTGAACTTTCTTTTGCACTAAGCCTCATATACAGTGATTGACTTCAGTAAATGAAATGCTTGATCGTAATTATTTCATATTTAGCTTTGTAAATTGTAATAAGCCAATATCTAAGATTTTACTGCTTAGCAGTTCAAATACCATTCAATTCTGCATCATATAATAAAAAATCAAGGATAATTAAACAGTATTATCAGTAGTTACATCATCCACTGGCATTAATTTTGGAGAAATATTTTGTGCTTCTTGCAAAAATTAGGCATTGTTTTATCATCTAGAAGAAAATAAAACATCTGCAGAATAATTTTAGAAGAAAATTTTAATTTCTGAAGAAAAATGTGTATCATATTATCTTGAACCGCTACAGCATTTCTGTAAAATAAATGTCAATGTAAATTGCATTGACAAATTTTGGTGATTTTCCTTGTAAATTATGAACTTTTCAAGAAGAAATCAAACATTTGCATTTTATTATCAAGTGTTTGCTTGTTGAACTTAAATAAACCTCTTTCAGGTTCCAATAATGTCTTCCTCTTCTAATCCATCATCTAAGAAGGCCTCTAAACATTCTCCCAGGAATCCAAAGAAAAGTGGAAAACCATCTAGTGCAAGAAGTGCTGGTCATAGAAGTGCAGACCATTCTTCAAGATCTTGTAATTTTTTATTTCTTTTTTTTATATATAGTTATAAGCTTTATTCTGTTTTCATTTTCCAGTTGGCTTTCATGTGTATTTCTAATTGAAGTGCAGTTTATTTTTTGTGTGTGAATGTTATTTTACTCTAGTAAGCTATAAAGGAACATAATATTTACCTTTTAAAATTTGATGGTTATTTGCAATCATCTGTTAGTATATTTTTTAATAGTGTAGAAAATTGTATAAGTTTCTAAAAATATTATAAATAAATTTTCTTCCATTTAGTTTTATCATTAAAATAGAATTATTTGAACATGTAATTATCTTGTTGTTTCTGTTAAACATTAATGCTTGGCATGTCATGATCAAACATATCATTATTTGGATGATTAATGTTTGGCATTTAAAAGGACCAACATGTACCAAATAATAACTGGGTTAATTAGCATAAAATCCTACTGTATTGCACACTCTGGTGATAATACAAATATTTTTGTAGACAACCTAGAGATACAATATTCATCTAATGATATTGCCAGCTGACCACAACTTTATGGTAGTTAAAAAAGAGTATTATTATTATTATTATTATAAAGGCACAGCCTCGATCCTCCTAGCCAGCACAAGCCGGCTGTATAATCACAAAATGGGACTGGCCAGAAAAAACATTTAAAAGTATATTTACGGGTACCCCTTGGCAATACTTGGTGATTTTTGGTGGTACATGGATACTGAGTTTGTTCAATTCTTTGACTAACAAAGAATTGCACAAACTCGGTATCCATGTACATATTGACCTATTTTCACTTCAAAAAGAATCACAGAATTCCACAAAAATGGCATTGTGCACTCCCTTGACTTTATCCATGTACATATCAACCTATTTTCATTTTTAAAAAATCAGAGAATTGCACAAACTAGGCTTTACGCACTTCCTTGACTTTGCCCCTATATACATCGAACTATATTCACTTAAAAAGTCAAAGGAGCAACCAACAAAAAATATATAATCTCAATAAACTACATTTTAAATCAAACAATGGAACAACGTAAAAAAGGAAATTCATCATTGCACTACACAAAGGAACTATCCACTTACCTAATTAATGAGTTAACTCGTCTTCAGTCAAACAAAATTCCTTAATAGCATCGAAAAACTTCCTAAAATTATCTGAACTAGAATCTGTATACTGGCGTTGCCACATAAATTCACAAAATAAGAGTCAAAAATATCCTCCGTAGCGATGTTCGAACAAGACCTTATGAATTTACCGCAATCATGCAACCGATTACATCATAATAAGGTTTCCATAACATTCAGCTACTCAGGCTACCATCAATGAAACAACAACTTGGCGATAAATAAAACAACAACTTCACAATAATACAAGGAGTACCTTTTTCTCTACTCTAAACCAAAACACAAATATAAAAATATATATATATATTAAGTTCAAAATCTGAGTTTAAGTGCTGAATTCCAATTCTGTCTTTGTTCGCATTTATAATCTTCATTATTGTGTTTGTAAAAACTTTCAAATTTGAATAGTTCCTTTTAAAATCTTACTTAAAATTATTTCTATATTTCTGTCTTGCACTCCGGGTAAGCATACATTCATCGAAGAAGTATTTATCACAAATGAAGCATTTATCATTATTCTGTATATGGAACCGATTAAAATAAGCCGGAAAATGCCCATGATTAGTCAGTACCTGATTTATATCAACATTTTTTATAATATTCATCTTCTTGTTTAACTTTATATTTTTCATTAACTTGTTTTTCTTATTAGACGACTCCCAGCAAAAATTCCATTCTGTATAAATCGTTTTCCATTTCAGCAATGGTCTTTTTTCTTGAATCTTGGGATATCGAAATTATCGGTCCCATCCCCAAGTGCTGCCATTTTAGCAAGGGTGTCCGCTCTTTCATTTATGACAATTCCACTGTGTGCTTTTACCCAATGTAATTTAACAATGTGTTTTCTTTCAGCCTTTTTAAACAAGACTTTTTTCATTAATTAGTATATACATTCATATATCTTGTATACTTGTTATCATTCAGTTCAGTATTATATAACTGTAAATAAATTTGTTAATCTTTCATTAGAATTGATTTGCCTCTTACACTCATTAATCATCAGAGTGGTCTGTCCATAAACAACATAACCTTCAAACTAAAAAGTCTGAATTTTGAATCATGGGAGTTAATCATGCACTTTCATCTTTACATGAATGGTTAAACATAGATTTAAGAAAAAAAAGGGAAGTAGGAAGGACCTGATTGGTTATCATATCTATTGATGATTTTCTGATTTAAGTTTTTAGCAGAAAATTTGAATTTATTTTTTATCTTGATACATGAATTTCTTGTTGCTGCAGCTTATGTGACTTGTGTGACCTAATCAGAACAAGTCCATAAATTTTATCATGGCAAAGAGTGTAGTATTCCATTGGTACTTCATTGTTATAGCAGCCCCTGAGATTGAACAGTCAATCAACCGAAATATGTTGGGGAAATCTGACTGTGTTCTTATACCTACCCACGTAATAGTATATTAGCATGAACCGTTTGTTCTTATATCTCACCAGGTGATTGTACATTAGTTCCGGCTGCGTGTTCTTATACTTTACTATGTAATCATATATTAGCACCATTTTGCATTTTTGCTGTTGATGTGTGTTCTTATATTATTCATTTTTGCTGAGATTTTTGAATTCGTATTGTTTATTTTAAAATATAGTTTATTTTAAAATAGCCTTTTTTTTTTTAATAATATGACGTAAACAGTCTTTAATTTATTAAGTAATAATTTCTTGAAAAAATTATAAGGTGAATGCCTTATCATTTTTTGATAAAGGAGTATACAAAAATGCCTATAACATGAAATTTTAAATGTTAATGGTAAAACCATTTGGAGGTGTAATGTTGAAAATTGCAAAAAGAAGAGCCTTTCTGTTGGAAATTAGTTCAGTGGTTCCAGAATATCGTTCTTGACTGCTATTAGATTTATGCATTCCTGGGCAGAGTAGTTGACGTCCATGAAATGGTGTAACAAACAGCTTAATATGTGTGACAGTACTGCAGTTGATTGGAATAGTTACATTTGATAAATTAATAATAATAAGGATTCTTTAAAATATTCTTAGGAATTGACATGCGAGTATTGTATTGTTTATTTTTATACTCGTGTTTCATAAGCTTGGCAAAATTGTAGCACAGATCTTTGCATAAATCTAAAATCGCCAAATATGTTTGGGGGCTGCTATAACAAAAACATACCATTGCATGAGGACCATACAAGTGACAGTATGATAGCACAGCTCCATCCCTATTTTAATAGGACCACACAAGGTATAATACTAGGTAATACACTAGGTTAATAGGTTTAAAGGTCTTCCATCCCTCTTCCCCTACAATCAAATCTGCTGAGAGGTTCATCATGTATTTTGAGTGCTCCACAGGCACAACATGCATGCAAATACTCATGGCTTCTCTGGGATTGAAACCATAACCCAATAAATGATATGACAACCAGGAGCATTAACCACTATACTGATCAAGAAAAAGGAACCATCAAATGTACATTAACTATCTTTGGTACTTAACATGGTGATCAGTACCTGTCATGTGTATTGGCCATGCCATTAATGTATTTTCATTACCAATACCTTGCTAGTAAACATATAGCTGTAGCATCCACATATAATCATACTTTGGCCATATTTCTTTCTATTTCTGTTTGTTTATTTATTTATTTATGGTTTCATTATTATATGTCTGTTGGATGGGTATATCCCTAGACAAAAATCAGTAATTATCCCTTTCTTCATGATCACAGCATGTTTCTTGTGCTGATTCCCACATTCTGTCACTGAATATATTATGAAGGTGTAAAATACATAAGTGCAGTATTTATAAAATAAGGAACATGAAAGAAATGACATTTACAATTGCCTTACAGTGTAATATTATGATTGCATCATATAAAGTCCCACTTACTCAACATTCTACATAACTTGATTATAATTTTTTTAATCACTAAAATTTTTTCTGTTGTTTAAGCAGAGCATTATCTTTCAAATTATATACTGGTTTATTAACAGCTAGACTGTAATATTGTCCAGCAGTGCCCGATTTTAAACTCAGTTTGCATGTGAGCTAAATACACAATCTAAAACAACTGATGGGCCAGAAATTTATTGTAACCAAATTTAAACTTTTTATCAGTAAAATATAAACTGTTTCACCTAAATTTTAAATTTGATTTACTAAATATTTATCAAAACATGCATAAACAATAATAATAATGATGCAAAGGGGGAAAATTCAATTTTCTATCTGAAATATAAAGTTTGATACCTGCAAGACATTTTTGTTGCTTTGTAATTCAAGTCTAGTGACTGTTAAATATGAAATATTCAAACTGAAATCTGTTTAAATTAATTTTAATGTGTTTAATTAATCATTTAAATAACTTTTAGCTTAAATTAAAAATAAACAAATTATGAATAAGCTTTCCAAGGACGACAAAACTTGAGAATAAATAATGACAGCCTAGTCTATTTCTTTTATTAATTGAATTTTTCTTCAGGGCATAAATAAAGTTAAATATGTATGTAAAGTATGTAAATAATTATAAACATTTTTATTTCTTAGTACAGTTTGATACTTGATGGCATTTCGGTTTTGATAAAGTTTGTAAACTTGGAGAAAAACTTTAAATTATCTTCTATCACTTGTAGTAGATGCTTGTTGGTCAATCGGCTTAGTTTCTTATTTAATTTCAAATGTGAAGAAAAAAATTGTTCATGTAGAAATGTATTTCCAAACAAAGTGATTATTCTTACTGCAGAAATTTGTAACTGAACATATTTATTTTTTGACAAATACAAATAAAGGGTAATGATATCTGTATCTTCTAATATTTGAATAAGATTTAAATGACTTAGTAAATTAATTAGCTCCATTTACAGATTTCTTGCTTATTGTATTTAATTTTCAATTATTAGCAAAGAAAAAGGTAAATGGAGTAGTTACTGGAAAATAACCCCCTTCAAAAAATAAATAAATAAATAAAACACAAGCTTAGCATTAGGAGCTATTTTTTTTTTTTTTTTTTTAAATGTGATAGGCTTGATGTAATGAAGTATGGTTAATTTGTAATGAACTAAGAAAAACAGTACTTACACATTAATGCAACTTGGTGAATTTTTGACAGATGAAAAGGTAAAAGTTACTTATTTGGTGCAAATTGGTTTGCACTCTTTTTTAGAAGGATTTCTAAACTATTGATATTTATTGTAAGTCGGTAGACATTATGTAAAAAACAAAATATAAAAAAAAAAGAAAGAAAGAAAGCATACTTTCATACAAACAGCAATTCAAAATACAAATTCGGATTATTAAATAAGTATTAAGTGATACATTAAAAAAACACTTGCAGTCTTCCTCAAATTTTTCTCTATTTCTTTTTCTTTCCCCCCCCTTTTTTTTTTTCTATTTTTCTCCCAAATTGCACAGCAATATATTTTGGCTTTAAAAAACATCAGAGAATTGTGGAGGTATGGCTTTATGCAATCCTCAGCTGTAGTGGCTGTTGAGGAAATACATTTGTTTGTTGTTCCCTTTAAAAAATTTTCAGCAAAATACTGTATTCTTGCAAAAATTTTACTGCAGTTTCTTCCATTGCTGGCAAATTCCACAAACTTATGTTTTAAAACTAAGGCAAGAAATATTGCAATTTGTTTATAAAAAATAAAATAATTATTGGAACATGGAATGCAACAAAAAAAGAATGAATATGAAAACTGCAGCATCACTTGAGTGAAGAACTATTATGGGCATGGTTGTTGGAAGAATGCTATATATAGGGTACATTCTGAAAATTTGGCAGTTTTTTCTGTGGTGGTTGCATTAATATGTAAGTACTGAAAAATTATTATTATTATTATTGCTTTGCTAGTGAAATACTTTTAAAATAGGTGTGTATGCATGTATATATGTCTTTCGCATCTGCCTTCTGAATTATTCGTAATCATGTGGATTTTAACTGCATAATACTTAAGATTTTTGAAATAATATTGCTATCAACTCATTGCAAATGTCATAAACAGAAAAAATTTAACATCATGTTTGCTTGTGACTATCAAAGCTTGTAATGTTTGACTGACAGCTGGTTGTTACATTTTATTATTAAAATTACTCCTACAAACCATTTTGAATTTTTTGTAACAATAATATGTTTTAAGCAATTTTTTAAATTGTTTCTGCATTTGAAATTATTTTTAAATGCAGTTTAAATAAAATTATAATATATTTTTATTTAAGCTAAACATGTTGATAATGCTATCCCATCTACAAGTGGAGAAGGCACAAGTAAATCCCTTGGGAAGTATGTACTAGACTTATTACAACATTTTCTTGACTTATATTGGTAACTTTTTAACTGCTTTAAATTTTATTACTGGTTATATGCTCTACTGAACATTTTTTTACGTTAAATGCATCATAATTAAAGAGCAATTAATTTTATATTAAAAAAATGTATTAATATAGTAAGTAGTTACAAAAATTTAATTTTATATTTTATTTGCCATTTATTATAATTGATTTAAATTTTATGAAAATTATAGCTGTCAATATTCATTACATATGACATTATATAGTCATGCTTTGTATCAGAATTTTCATCATCCTATGATTTAACTGTCTGTAAATCACAGGATAAAAAATCTCATTTAAAAAATGAGCTTTAAAAATTAAGAAAATATAATGATTTTTAAGATATAAAACATTTACCAAGAGAGAGTGATAATATAGTTAAGTATATAGTCAAAATGTAACAAGTACTATTTTTTAATGCTGATGCCAAATGATCTTGTGCAAATTTGGCTGCTATTTCCATCTGAGGTTAAATTGCGCCGGAACCAGGTTCCGGTTCTTCTCAATTTATGGGATAAATTAATAAAATAAAAGCAATAAAATTATATTAAAAAATTATTAGCTATTATTAGCAATAAAATTATATTAAAAATTGTTATTAAATTTTAATTTTACCTCTTTACATTTTTATTTAATTATTTTTTAATAAATAATAATATATTAATTAATTGATTAATGGTTAGATAATATTTATTTATTAATTTGAAAATAATTAAATATTTAATTTTTAAATTATTAATGATTTTAATAGTTATTTTATTTATTTATTTACTCTTGTTCCTCTTTCCTAACAGCCTTCCATAGAATTCCAGCACTTCTAATTCTAGAAATTAAGCCCTGATTTCTGTGCTGATACAGTGCTTTAATCAAGAATATAGTTTTTACATCCCTTGTTAGCTGTAGAGTTAATGTAATATCATAAATATAATGTCCAGTATCCCTGGGCTGTCAACACAGAGTAACTAAACTTATAGAGCACTAATAGCTCATCCCAGTTATATTTTTCAGCTGCTAAATAGGTTAGTTGCATAGCATTTTTGTAGCTTTTCTCATCCACAATCTAAATATGACCTCAAGTTCTTAATAATCAGGTCTTCCTCCTCCTAGGCAGACAGCCTGGAAATGCTGTTATAACTAATGAGATCTTTTAGATGAACTAATGAGATCTTTTTTACTGATTGTAAGATGACCTACACCAAAAAATTTTCTATGCAAAGGTATGCACAGTATATTTACAAAGTTTTAGGACTAAATTCGGCTCTAGTGTAGAATTGGGTGCCCCTTCAATAAGCGATAATTTTTTTTTTTTTTTTTTTTTTTTTTTTATTTTTATTTTGGCGATGAAACGTCATGTCTGGTGGTTACCATGACAGTTTTAACTTTGTTTTAGCTTCCTGAGTTTTTTTTTAAATGAAAATAGATTGATGTGTACATGGACAAATTTTATGGCAGTGTGCAATGTCTAGTTTGTGCAATTCTATGATTTTTTTTTTTTTTTTTTTTTTTTTTTTTTTTTTTTTTTTTTTTTTTTTTTTTTTTTTTTTTTTGTTTTTTTTTTTTTTTTTTTTTTTTTTTTTTTTTTTAAGTGAAAGCAGATTGATGTGTACATGGACGTACAACTCTTTGACTTTTTATTTTGATTTTGTGTAGCGGCCATCTTGAAATTGTGCCTTCCTGGCGTCGATCTTGGCATCAAAAAAGAATCGCCAAAAAACGAGGTGCACCCACGAGGTGTAAACTTTTACCCTAAATTCATACAAAATTGTTGAAAAAAGTAATATTCGTACTCCTTAGCCATCACTATACAATCCTAACAAGTCTGTGCAACACTTGGCCTATTCATACAGCTGCTTGATTCCTTCATAAAAATTTTCTTTTGGAATACTATTTAAGTATCTGGTTACTGTTTTATGAATCTCTACAATGTTAATAAATTAATGACATTTCAGATAAGACTTCACTTTAAAGCAGTGCCTGTCCTAGGTATTTTGATACCCAGTGCATTCTCTGCGAGTTCTGAATTCTGCTGCCCAGTGCCTACTCTAAACTCAAAGCAAGATTCTCAAAACCTTTCACAATTTATATTTTATTATCTATATTTGTTATCTCGGCATTGGCATCTGTTGACATTTCTTTTTTCTGCTTGAGACTATCAGTATCAAACTTGTATTTGCGAAAAGTCGTACAGTCTTGCACATCTGTGAAAAAAAGGTTGTGATCTCGACAAAATATTGCAAGAAATCGACGAGTCCTTATTAATACACTCTTAGACAAAAAAAAAAAAAAAAAAAAAAAAAAAAAAAACGCACCAAGAAGGAGTTATCCGAATGGGACGAAAATTGGTAGAAGTGATGTACATGTACAGAAAAACAAATGATTACAGTTTGAGAAAAATTGGATGATTTATTGAAGTGATAAAGCTTTACAAAAAGTCAGTAATGCGTTTGTCCACCTCTGGCCCTTACGCAAGCAGTTATTCAGCTTGGCATTGATTGATAGAGATTGTGGATGCCCTCCTGAGCGATATCGGGACAAATTCTGTCCAACTGCCACGTTAGATCGTCAACATCCCAAGCTGGTTGGAGGGCCCTGCCCATAATGCTCCAAATGTGCTCAATAGGAGAGAGATCCGGCGACCTTGCTGGCCAAGGTAATGTTCGGCAAGCTGTAGAAACATGTGCAGTGTGGGGTAGGCATTATCTTGCTGAAGCCCAGGGTGGCATAACATCAAGGGCAACACAACGGGCCTTAGGAATTTGTCAACTTACCGCTGTGCTGTAAGGTTGCAACGGATGACAACCAAAGGAGTCCTACTCTGAAATGAAATAGCATCCTAGACCATCATTCCTGGTTGTCGGCCTGTCTGCCAGAAGACAGTCAGGTTGGTATCACACTGCTGTCTGGGGCATCTTCAGACTCGCCTTCGCTGGTCATCGGGGCTCAGTCCAAAGCAGGAATCATCACTGAAGACTGTTATCACTATTCCAGTGCGAATGAGCTTGACACCACTGCAAACAGGCTTGGCTTTGTACAAAGGTCAAGTAGTCGGCGCTAGGGGCTTTCTGTGTGCCCCCTTTCTGTGTGCCCTCTATGAATGGTCCTTCTCCTGAAGCACTAGTTGCTTGTACAATCGATGATAATGATGCATCTGGGGCTGTGAGTGGCTCTCTGACGATTGCTCGGCCTTCACGTTCTGTCGTTTCTCTAGGCCTACCGCTTCCTTCTTGACACTGTGTGCAGCCATGCTTCACCCATTCCTGCCAACATCGTCTAATATTGGCATTAACAGGCTCAATATATTATGAAACATGTATGTACTATGGCCAATGAAAATTATTATGAACTATGTATGTATTATGTAACAGGCTCAATATATTATGAACTATGTAAGCAAGTATGAACTATGTAAGCAAGTATTATGAAAGATCTATGTATTATGAACTACTTGTATATAAGCATGTACTATGAACTATGTAACTATGTAAGCATATATTATGAACTATGTAACTATAAGCATATGTTAGGAACTATGTAAGCATGTATACAGGACCAATGTATGCCCTTATAGGCCCCATGAGGTGTTGCCCCGGATAGTTGTGGAACCTGGACTAGACCCGAATAGTCTTAGTAAGCCGCACGGGTGTCCAGATTCTGCTCTTAACTCAACTCAACTCTAATAGTGGCATCACTCCTGCTCAAATTCGAGCTATTCGCCGATAAGACCAACCACCTTCTTTGAGCCCACTACAGGACCTATCTCAAATTCTGATATCTGCGCATATCGTTTGCGCACCTGTATGCGAGGCATAGTTACTGTCTACCACAGTACACGGAATGAAATTCGTGAAGAATTTATGACCTGGAATCGTAATTTCTCCTCTTAAATATTCTGCCAGATGCACTATAGCAACAATCGTTCATTCATTGGCAGCAAAAATGTAAAATTTTGCATTTTCCGTCGAAACCTGTATGCATATCAATTTGCTTTATATCTTCTCCGTGCATCGTGTTTTTTGTCTAAGTGTATTTCTCAAAATAAAAAGAATTTTATTAAACAAGCAAAACGATGGTAACGATAGCTAGAGTGATAAGGCATCGACAACTCGCAAAGGAGAACAGAAGCAAAAATTTCGTAACTACAAGGAGAGTTACTTTGATTTTTTTACTTCAGTAGATATAAACAAAGATGACACATGTAATATCTGCTTAAAAAAATCTTTGCACTCGAAACTGCTCCCAAGTAAGCTGAAGCTACATCTTGAGGCCATTCGTCCTAACTTGGTGAACAAATCATTTTTTTAGTAAGAAGTTGCAAAATTTACAAAAGCAAAGCAGCCTGTTCACTAAACAAGTGTTAGTTTTAAATAATACACAGCTAGAGTATGCTAATAGCGAACTGCAGGAAACTGCACAATATCATAGAAGAGTTTATTCTGCCGGCTACTCTCGTGATGGTTAATATTATGTGGGAAAATTATTTCTAAGCTACCTCTATCCAACAACACTATTAGTCAAAGAATTTAATGTATAGTTCAGGATCTTAAGGTTTAATTAATAGAGAAAATGAAATGAAATGAATTCAGTTTGCAGTTAGATGAGGCTAGTGACAGTAACAAAGATGCAAATATTGCATGTTATGTAGGCTTCCTGGTTGGCAATATTGTTATTGAAGAGCTTCTGTTCTGTAAGAACATAATCCGAAGTGCAAAGGCTCAACTTGTTCGAAAGGCCTGACAAGTTTAAAATGGAAAATGAGTTAGTTTGAAAATAGTGTGTCAGTGTATATACTGATGGTGCTCGATTAGTGTTTTTCACTAAGGATGACTGCAGACACTTATTTGCAGCAAAAACACCGCATGCTGTGTGGACCACAAGGAAGCAGTTGCATCGAGCTCGCTCATTCCTCACTTGAATTTGGCATTGGAATATGTCATAGATGTAGTAAACTACATAAAAACTACCCCATTGAAAGCAAGAGTTTTAAAAAGCTGTGCTAGGACATGTAAGTTGAACACACAACCTTACTATACTATTGCAATTCGCGATGGCGTTTGCGTGGCGATGTCCTGTCTCATGTGTTTGAGCTACTTCAAGAAATTCACACTTTTCTGCTAGAGGAAGGTCATGCGATCGCTAAGTACTATTTTGCCGAACATTTTGCACATACATTTTGCTAAACTAACATGTTAGTGTGACATATTTGAGAAACTAAATGTCTTGAATCTGTCTCTACAGGGCAATGTATGCATTTGAAACTTGTAGAAAAGAACTCAATTCAGAGTTTAGAAAAAGTTGCATTTGTGCATAAGGTTAGGTTATTCAATTACGGCAAAGCCTCGAGAGCTAGCTGCCTAAGGGGATGCCTTAGGCAGCTAGCTCCTTAGGCCTAAGGGGCTCAGGAAGGGATTTTTGAGAGAAACTTTATTTTATGGGAATTAGTCAGGTGGTTTGTCCAGGTAAGTGAAGAATGATTACATTCTAAATGGTGATATGGAATTAAATTGAAAAGTTGGTGTATTTAATTATGGCAAAGCACAGTAGGGCTATCTGCCTAAGGGAAGGGATGCCTTCGTGGAGGACTTGCTAAGGGAAACTGGCTCGTATACACGTTACACATGGGGAAAACCACAAAAACATCCATGCAGCCAGCCCGCGGGATTCAAACCTCGGACCAAACTACCAGTGTTCAGCGACTTTACCGCTCGGTCGCTGGTGGGCCATTTGTGCATAAGGAAATTGAATGACTGGGATGCTCAAGGCTGTTTTTGTATGTTGTACCCAGGCTCTAATAAAATCATTATTCTACAAGAATTTCTGTCCCTTTTCATGGAATACCTCTCAAAGCTCACTAACTGGCTCACAAAATACTGTGCAGAAGATAATGTAGAGAAACTTATGTTGATATAAGATTCTTTTCATTAGACCAAGAAAGTTTAATTGAATTCTTTTGCAATAACATTCTGAAAAAAAATTTGCTTGTCAGATTTAATGGAATTTTGGATCTCAATAAAAACTGAGTATCCAACTTTAAAGTTCTAATGTTCTAAGGATTTCCATTTCTTTTGCGACATCTATCTATGCGAAGCTGGATTTTAATTGGATGCTTTATTAAGGACCGAATACCGTTTGAAAATCATTGTGGAACAAGAAATGAGAATAGCTGTATCAAGCCTTCTTCTGCAATTTGAAAAACTGCAGAAGAAGTGTGGGGGGATTAACAAGCTGCCCTGTCACATTGACTTCCTGATCTACCACTGAAGGTTTCGTTTATTTGTATTCAGTTCATATGTTTTCTTCTCAATTAAAGTTATACTTTTTCATTAAAAAGTCACTTTCATTTCTGAGCCTTATTAACGCTGTAGTAGAAATATTGGAACCGGGGCACCGTGGAAAAACAACAAGTGCCCGTGTATTGAAAACATTTGCAAACCCCTGGCATAGGGCAACAGAATTCAGAGGTAGCAAAATTTTTAGAACTGAAGAAAGTGATAAGTAATAAAATTTAGGACCTGTAGAAATTGCAGTAGCTGCAAAATGGCTAGCACCATCCCTGCTCTGAATATGCTGTTGTACATAGCATCTGGGCACCAGAGTACATATACAAGTATTTGTATTTAATTTTTTTATGTTTTTATTTATCAAAAAAAAATTATTTAAAATTTTAGTTATATTGCTCTTTTAGCATAGTGAAGTAAGTATTTCTAAATAAATTGAAATTCAATAGTTGTATTATATATATTATTTTTATATGAATTTTTTTCACCTTAGGGAGATAAGCATCCGTGTAATTGATGATTGCAAAAATGTAGAAGAAACATTTTCTTGTGCCTATGACTTATTAATTAACAAAATGCCATACTTCAAAGATTGCTTGGATTCTGAACCTGAAGGAGAACTGACGATATCTGTTCACTGTGACATTGTAGTATTTAGGAAGATTATGGACTATATTAATTCAGATTCAACATCTGGAACTAAAAAGTTTAAATTTGGTGAGTTCTTCCTCATAACTTCTCAATTTGGAAACAAAATGGTTTCAATAAATATAATTGATAGTATAGATATTTTTATCAAATGGAAAAATAAATACTCATATTTTTCTAGGAGTTTTTCTATCAGAATTTGATATTGTATAATGTTTATCAAACTAATAAAATTAAAGAAGAGATATCCTAAAATGTGAATATCAACTGATAATTTCAAAGCAAACGTCTTCAATATGAATGCCTTTATTTAAGGAACTGCTAACACATTTTAAATGCATTATAGTATGAATTGTTTACTAAAATAGAATTTCTAAATAACTTATATATCTGATTTTAATTTTTTTCATGTAAATTGTATGAAATTTATTTGAAACAATATAGAAATAAAATATATAAGTTTGTACAATAGTAGAAATTCGAATTCATACACAGTTACAGCAACCAAATAAGCAAACTTCATTTATATACTAGTCTAATGTTTTCACTAAAAAAAGTGACATCTGATTAAACAACTTTAACCCTTTGAGGAGCGGTATATAAAATAATTCAAAATTGTGGTAAAGTTTTGCATGAATTGTAACTTATGGTCCCTAAGAACACAAAATTGAGACGTAAAATCCTGATTTCTGAGGACCACTGCTGGCTATTAAAATTGCAACACCAGGAAGGAATGATCTTACGAATGTCAAAATCACATGAAAGGAAGACGAAGGGATAAGCAAGTGATTAGTATTTCAGCGCATTTAGACCTCACAGTAATGAGAAATTACATCTAAAGCACTGCATAAAAGAAAAGTTGTATAGTAGATTTCTTATTCAGAAAGTGCTTTGTATGGTTGGAGTTTTCTGAGAATGTCATGTTGTGCCTTGAATAAGAAGAGGAAATAATTACTAGCAAGTTTTGAAATTCGATAGAGGCAGTATCGTTGCCTATCGAAATTGTAGATTATCGTTCTATCGTATCATCAGTCGCACTGGTCTACATCAAACCACTGTCATGCGAATATGGAATCAATGGATTACTGAGTATCTTACTGAGCAGCATGTAGGATCTTAAAACCCTCCCATGGCTAACACCAGAGAGGACAGACATATCGTGCAGTCAGCCCTGCAAGACTGTATGACCACATCGCAGACCATTAGTCAGGAAATGGGCATGTTTGCAGCACACCCAGTATTGGCTCATAAGGTGCGTCGACATTTGCAGCAGAGTGACCATTACTTTGGCTTCCCTTGACAATGCAGCATAAAGAGGGATGGCCATTCTTTTGCACCAAACGACAAAGCTGGGTACAGGAGTGGCACAATGTCACCTTTTCAAATGAGTCCCGGTTCTATGTGCAGTATTCGTTTGGCCATATATGCATCTGGAGTGTTCGAGGAGACGGCACGTCACCTGCTTGCATTCAAATATTGGTATAGGGCCCTGCGCCTAGTGTGATGGTTTGGGCAGCCATTCGGTACATGACACGCACATCTCTAGCTCAGATCGATGGTAATTTTAATGCAGATGGGTACTTTTCTAACATTTTACGTCCAGTGGCTGTGCCCTATCTTTGAGGGACCTCAAACGCCATGTTCCAACAAGATAATGTAAGATCACATGTTGCACATCATGTTCTGATCTTCAAGTCCCCATTGAAAACATCTTGCCATGGGTTGCTGAGAAACTGACCCACTACCCCTCTCCAGCTAATATGGTTGATGAAGTGTGGCATAGACTTGAAGCAACATGGAATGGGTTGCTCATTTCTTTAATCCAAGCTCAATTTGACTCCATGCCTAGTTAAGAGCTGTTTTACTAATTTCGCACCCATACTAATTTAGGATGTGATTTATGATGATTTAAATGTAGTTAGTGGTAATTTGGATGTGATTTCTGCAGTGTACATTTTTTTTTTTTTTTTTTTTTTTTTTAATTTGAGGGGACGGAATTATCATTAGATAAATGTCTTTAGAAGTTCTAAGAAATTTAAAAAATTATTTTTGTAACTCTATTTCTTTTTAATAGATTTTTATAGTTTTTGCTTTAAGCTTCCGTGTGGTTTAATGTTCAGCAAAAAATTAATTTTTTCTTCCTTAATTCATTAGAATTCATGTTTTCCGTATTGTGTTTTTATTTAAAATTATTGCTTGCAAATATCGTGTATACATCATAATAATTAGTCTTTTGCATTTCACAGATCCAAAATATGCAATACATTTACTTGTATCAGCAGACTTTTTACAAATGTCAACTTTGGTTGAAGAGTGTTTAAATTATTGCCATAGGCATATGAACAGTATAATTGAGAATAATTGTCCAATTGGTGCACTAAATGATGATCTCTTAACTAGGTAAGTTTTCTTACTTATTTTGCTGTTCTTTTCTTATTTATCAGATCATTAATATAATCATCTTAACATAATTTTTCAGGCTTGCTTTGTTATTTAATCATCGAGAAGTTGAATCTTTAAAAGATCCTAGTGGCAGAATTAAAGAGTGAGTATAGTGATATACTATAATCGTATCATTATTATTAATGAATTAAAAAACTCTTTATTCAAATTAACAATATGCTTGTAATTTTTAAGTTTGCAGGCCACATGTTCTTTAATTAAGTATAAACTTTCTTTAACTGTAGAAAATTATATAAAATATTACTTGAGCGACTGCTGAAGCCTGATGCTAAACTTCCTAATCAACGAATTGTGGCTAAACTTATGAAATGTAGTTTATGTGATCAAGTATTTGCTACAAAACTGCAAATGTTCGTTCCATGCAAATCTAAAAAGTAAGTTTTTTCGTCACCTTTTCAATATTATGATTAAAAACATATAAATAGTTATATTAAAGTATTTCACTATTTACAAACTTTTAAAATTTTAAAGCTACAGTTAACTGTAGTTGCATTTTAATTTAACTTTTGTAAATATACAATTTGTGTACACTTGTGTGCAAGATAAGAGGATTTGTACATTTTGTTGAACTTCTGAGAAACTAATGGAGATATTTCAATGAAATTTGGTATGAATATCTATTTGTAACAGAGGGAGAGATGTACTATTCACAACTCATTTTATCCACATTGTGATATTAAACTGAAAATGAGTCTAATGTAGAGTATGGTCCTCTATCACAGCCAGACAGGTCACAGCTTATAATGGCATACTGCACAGGGGCAGTTGAGGAGTCTTAGTGGCAGTCTATCCTTTTTTTGGAGCAATGTAGTTTTCGATTTGTCCTCCAAAGAGCATTTCAGATATGCTGTATATGATTAAGGTCAGGAGACTTACATGGCCAATCCTTGTAGCAAATATCCTTATTTTTCAGGCATTTATCAATCATCTGAGCCCTATGTAAATGAGTGTTGTCATCCATTAGTAGGAACCCAGGACCAAATGTGCTCATTAAAAGTTGAACATAGGGCTCTAAGATCTATCTGTACACCTCATAGCAGACAAGGAGTGCTTGTCAAACAGATGCAAGGGTATGCAGCTATCCATCATAATGCCTGCCCAAACCATTACACCACTACCCCTTTATGATTTTTTCCCTGATGAGAGAGAGATGATATTGTATTCCAGGCTCACTTCAGATAAAGTACACCAAGAACCTGCATCCAGGTTGAACTTCAACTCATTTATAAAAAATATGGTGCTCCAATATAGTCCAGGTCAAGGGTGTAGCAAGAGTTTCTAGTGCCCGGAGGCAACTGAAGAATTTGTGCCCCTTTCTGTGTACCAAGAATGGAAAACATTTTTTTAAAAAATTTCGTAGCATCAATTTAGCACCCCTTGAATGCTGTACCTGGGGACAGATGTACCCCCTTGCTCCACCCTAGCTACGCCACTGGTCCAGGTGCATGGTATCTTCACCATACTATACATGCTCTCTTGTGTGCTGCAGTGAGCAGGATGGAAACAGATTGGCAGCACACAGAGAGAGCTATAACAATCCTGTCGTCATGCTAAAACTGCTTCATTTATCGTTGTGGATCTTCGTTGACCTTGTCCAGTCTTCTTGTTATGAATCTAGTATCCTGAAACTGTTTCCACAAATTGCAGGCTACACTTTGCGTTACTTTGAACTCACCTTGTGCTTGTGATTGGCCTGCCTTTAATCTGTCAATAATTCTGCATTTCATTCTGTCATTCATACACTTGTGGCTACTCATTTTACTTGAAACCTTATGAAATCTACCCAACTCTTGCGAGAAAAACAATAAATGTTATGAAGGAATACAAATCACTGAAAATCCCTTGTACGCTTATATCCCCTCCACAACTCTGCAGACACACATGTGTACACTTTTGTATTCAACTCTGAGTATTTGCATAATTCTTCAACATTATTAGTACCTTTGAATACTTTTCGTAAAAATAGACATAATTTACAACTTCTCTCAATTTTCCATGAACATACATCAGTAGATAAAATTTCAGTTATTGTTGAGTATAAACATTTATCTTTGCACTACTTTTGTAAGGAAATGTTGAAAGTAATGAATTATATTAATGACCAACCTAACCTGAAAACTCTGGATGTAGTAGAAAATGAGTGCATCTACCAACAAATACAGTTCTGTCACTTCTAGCAGCTGTACTTCAGGCATTAAACTATGAAACAAGATTATTGTAGGAAAAAAAGACCAAACAGGAAAGGAAACTTAGAAAAATTATATTTCACTCTTAAGTTTTATGTCAATCATTTGATGGCCAATAGGAAAAGATTTCCTTTTTGCAGTTTTTATTGTTGTCTTGTCCATGTATTTCATTACAGAATGGCTGCCAGAGCCTCAAGCAGGTTGGACTTTTTCCCCCACCCCAGTTTTGAAAAGGAGCACCCTGGGGAGCATAGTCTGAGGGTCTCTCACCCCTCTCCTGTAACACCAAACTACATGAGAGGACTTTCGGACTATAATTTATATTTATAGTGGCAACAATGCAACGAAAGCACTATACATTTACAAACATTTCTTTTAAAATATCAATTGTGGAATCGTAATTAGCAGAATAATCAATATTCCTTTGATTGTATTTAAAGCAGAACCACCCAAATGAGCTTTTAAATAGTAAAATTTGTCTACTTTATCTAAAGAATCATTTTTATGACTAGCAGACTCAAAACTGTTCCAAAATGTAAGCCAGTTGTTTAGATCTCCATAGAATTCCGTTAAATTTAGGTAATTTAATTCAAACAGCATCAGTGCATTTTGCTTCATTTTGACTATCAGTACTAAACTGGTTATTCACTATAGTTTCAGTAGAATTGCATTTTAAATCATCAATTGTGTGAAAATTTCGTTAAATGACTTTTTGATGATATTCTTCCAATTTTGGAAATTAAGCATCAAATTCTTTGCCTTTAAAGAGAAATTCTAATTCTTTATTAACAGTTTTAAGTGATTTTAAATTATTCTTTAATGTTTCTAAATTTTCTTCCAAATCATACACTTTTGAATCATAAGTTGTGATTTTAAATCTTTAAGGGATTCCGTTACTGCTCTTCAGAGCTTCTTTTTTAACTTATTTAAATTATCTTCAAACATGTCCTCAAAGATTCAAAATCAATATGTAAACAATAATTGCATATTTTAAAAATGTCATCCTGGCAGGGTATGCCAATAATATGTAATCTTAAATTTAAGGTATTAGAATTCATGCTCATAAAAATTAAAAAGAAAAACTGTTACCTTTTTTATTTCAGAGAGGCGAATGTAGGACATTTCTTGATTCCTTTAATTCTTGACGTGATAATCTTTGATGAAAGTAATTGAATCATTTTAGACAGTAATCCTTTATTGGAACAAGTATAAGGAATGATAAATTATGTACTTGGATGATACACAACTCATTTTTTTAATATATATGCACATTTATGTTATGTTACATTTAGATCTCATGAAAATTAAACATGCACTGTTTTTCGCAAAACAATTCCAGTTCTGGTTCTGTATTGTAGCTGTACTCTCTTTCTGCACAGTTCTATTTTCTTTTAAACTCTTTGCAGACTATAACGACTCAGATGGCCTTTCATTCAAACGATGACAAATGGCTAAAATTCCAATGTTGTTTTCTTCCCTCTCCTAAGGTATGCACTAGCGGGTGCAGTTTCCCCAAATGCATTGTATCATTTTATTGCAGGCAGCTTGTCCTAAAAAGACTTATTTGTTGTTTCTTATTTTTATTTGTTAGAAGTAGAAACGATAACATTTGAAATCTTCATTCTTCTTTGTGTGTTAATGGATGGGGAGGGGAGGAAATTGCTATGGATGTCGAAAACCATTTTGGGCAGTTCAGTATTTTAATATACAGGTTAGTGAAAGCTCCAGTTTTCAAAGAGTTAAACAATTATTTTTAAAGTTCGCTAGAAGGCACTGGAAGTCCACAGCCCAGATGTAGTATCATCCATGAGTAATTAGAGAATGTGATTTGTTTTCCAAAATCATAGATTGAATATCAGTTATGTTTGCTTTGCAGTGGTGAGTTGCTTCTTGTATTAGGCTGAAGTTCAACAGTTAGAAAAAAAAAAAAGGTTTGGCATGACCTTTGCAGGTAATTTGTGAGGGGTTGTCTTTGTTAATAAGACAAAAACAATCACTGTGTGGACAAATCCATTTTAAAATTTAAGGAAGCCTGTTCTCTGAATGCATTGAGGAAGAGGAAAATTACACAAATATTTTTTTAATTTTCAGAACCGGGTGCTAAAAGGCGGGGGGGGGGGATATCTAAGGTAATCTGATAATTTTTATGATTGCTTTGTCTCAATATAAAAGGTTCCTCAACTTTTATCATTAAATGCTATTTTGCTTACTTTAGTTTCCATACTTTGCTTTTGTTACCTTTTAACATATTTTATGTATTATCTTTAACCTAATTAATATGTTATGTATTATATATGTTTTAATGATATATTACTATCTCAGGGCAACTATTGGTCCTAGAGGTGAACTCATGTACACTCATAAAAGGTAGTTACCATTAATATTATTGATTATTAATTATTAATATATCAAAATATATTATTAGTATATATAAAATGAATAAAATGTTGTTCTCTTTACAAGTAGAACACTTGAATGTGTTTTGTTCTACTTTTTTAAATATGAAAAGGAAGAAATTCAATATTTTAGATGATTTATTGTTATCAATAAAAATATTAAACTTATTTCTTTATGCATTTAAGCACTTAATAGTGAAGATTAAATCTATATGCATAAAAGTATGTTAATTTCATTACTTCTGTCATAGTTTTAGTTGAAAGCTTATCCACTTCTTGAACTGTATCTTAAACTATGTTCTCCTCTGCTTTCCCCATTCTTTTTCTTTTCTCCTTTCCACCCCCTCTTTATTCTCTGTGTTGTTTTTATCCGTGATTACTATACATTAACCCTCTAAGTAGCATGACGACTTTTATCTGGTCATAGGATTTTTGCTACTTAGTGTGTGTATACCTTACTATTTAAAATACTTCACTTTCTTATTTTCTTTGCTGAACTTAATATAATTTTAATAAATGAAAGGTAATGAAAACAAAGACTAAAATAAGTGATTGTGCAAATGTAGCTGTTAAGTTTTGTTTAAACACAGCTGTTAAAAAACAGATCCAAAAAGCCATACCATTTGGAAGGTGAATAGTTTTTAGTGACTAAGCGATTTGAATTTTAAATTCATTTTATCCAAATGTAAGGGAAAGTGATTACCGTATTTGATGGCATATAAGATGCACTTTTTTTCCTAAATTTGGTCTCAAAAAAGTTACCTGCTTTTTGTACGTGAAGGACACAGGTTAACTTTCAATACCGAATGCGATTTTTAGCCCGGATAAAGGTTTAGACACACATAACTTTTTTTACACCTGCCATAATTATTTTGCGCATGCGTGAAATGTCTGTTACCAAAAAGCGCCAAAGCTCGAAGCTGGTGTCGAAGTTCGAACAGGTTCGATGGTCACATTACGTCTATGGAGCCTTTCCTTCTTTAAATAGACTTTCTTTGACTCAGCCGACACACGTGTTGGTATCGGTGCTTAAAACTATTTGTTTTAAAAAAATACCCTGGAAAATATGACTACAGGAAACAAAAGATTAAGCTATTCGATTCAGTATAAACTAGGAGTGTTAAACTACGCCAAAGCGCATGGAAACAGAGCAGTAGCAAGGCATTTCGGTCCACCACCTACCGAAAAAATGATACGTACTTGTTGGAAGATCAACTGAAGACTGCTAAAGAACAAAAATATAACCTTTGATGCCCAGCTCCATCTTGGCCTGAACTTGAAAATTACATTTTAAGTTATTGTGGTACCTTGCTATCGCGTGAACTAAATAAAACTTTTTTTCCTTGTGTGTGGTCTTCTAAATAAGGGTGCATCTTATATGCCAGTGTGTCTTATATGCCGTCAAATACAGTATATGTTTTATCTTGCATCACTACCTTTCTGTGTAAGTATGGTCCTTTACATATGTAGTTAATTATAAGCAAAATTTGTTAGGGTTCCTATTGTTGATGAATCTTTGTCATTTTTGTGCTCTGTGATACTATCTATTATTCTCCAAGATGTTGATACATTATATTGTGATTTTCTATTGTCTCATCATAGACAAGAAGGCAGTCTGTTTCTAATGTTTCTCTTTTCTTTTTGTTATTTTTTTCTTCCATGGTTAATTTTCAAACATCTGATATTGGAATGATTGCAAGTTTATAACCATATTACTTGCATCTGATGTTATGTGTGTAATATTTGGTTAAATCATATCAATCAAATCTTCTTACTGAGTTTTCTCGCAACATCCAGCTGATGCCTGTTCTTTTTTGCAAACTGTAGGATATATTATTTTTCTGTTTGTTATAGATCCAGGTGTAGAGTAGAATTTCTAAGCACTAAAGGTAGAAATTGGTAGTTTTATTGATGTGAAGAAATAAAAAATCAAAAGCTATTTCCCAGTCTTTGTCTGGAAAACCAATTTTAAGATTAAATTACTTGATTAAAAACCATAGGTGATAATTGCTCGTATTTCAACTGCAGACAAAACTGTCATGAAGCATATAATGGAGGGAGAAAATGTGCAATAAGACACTATATGAGTTCCAACTGGCGAAATGTGTAGATCATCTACAAAAGTTTTGATCAAATGAAACACACCGATAGCTTGTAGATTTAATCTTCGGTATTTGATGTTTCATTTATACTACATGTGGCAATAATTATCCTCAAAATACTTAAAATCTGCTGAGCATAAAAACATGAGAATGCTAGCATTTCACAAACATTTCTGTAACTCAGCTGAAAAATTGCTTCATTTTTTATAAAATTTACATTAACTCTGAAGTGTCTTTAGTTCTGCTGACATAAAATTTATGCATGTGTATGCTTTGTATGTTTGCATTTCTCTTAACTATATATTTTTTAATGATTCTTTTTTAATAATTTACTGACTTAATTCTTTTAATTTTAAAAAATCTTAATATTTTATTAATTTTGTATTTTAATGAAGCTTATAACTGTAATTTTCTGTTGTACAAATAATATTTAACTTTCAATTCGCATGTGTCATTGTTACTAAAAATCTGCTTTTTATCTTTGCCTTTCTGCTTTTCTGCTTCCAGAGATATGACTTGGAATCTTGATAGATATCTTGAAGACTTATTCGTATCTTTACAGTCATGGAGAAAGATATATTGGAGGATTTGGGGTTTAGTTAACAGTTTGCACTGTATAACTTGCGGCACTAATTTTTCATGTTCTGATTTTACTAAATGTCCTTATCACAAAGACTTAATAACATTTCCTTCATCTGATCAGTCTGAAAATGTTCATAAACCTGGTGTCTTTCCATGCTGCGGCACTAAAGCATATAAGTTTGATCCTATCGATCCTTTGTTTCTGTTATCTGTGAGTAAAGTTTAGCATTTATTTTCATGATTATCTTTAAAAATGTGCTGAAGTAGTATTGTTGGTTAATTTTTGTAATAGCCTCTAAATGCATGAACTTGGAATCTTTAAAAGCAATGCCACTAAGTAAACCTTGTAATAATCTATATATTTTAAGATAAAGTATTATTTTTGTATTATAATAAAATATGTAATTCTTTTTAGTGTCTTCGTTGTACATATTATTTTAAATAGTCTTATGCATTTTAGATGTATTTTCAATTACATTAATTGAGAAGCCTATTTAGTTTTCAATTAGAATTTCATTAAAGTTTTGATCAATAATGACTTTACAGGAATTCAGATAAAGGTTTTAATCACACATAAATAAGATGCAACTGAAAAGGCCCAATTTATGTTCTCAAATATTTCAGTGTTTCCAATTTAAAAAGTAACCAATTAATGGAATATAACCTCTTGTTTTCTATATCATTTTATTAATCTAGTGCATTAAAATCCTAATTTATACTTTTTATATATCTCTAATTTTAATAGTTGGGTTTAATGTTATAGATATTTCTGTTTTTGGAAGAACCAAGAAAATATCAAGCAATTCATCTTTAACTGTTGCCATAAATTGAAATTTGTACTTTTTGGTTAATGGGGTGCCCCTTAGTACCAAATATAAATAAATACTGTTGTAAAATTTAATAAGAGATAGTAATGACAACACTAGTGATTTATAGCTTTATGAAAAGAATGGCTGTTTCATTAAATTTAAAATGAATTCAAAAATTTAAAAAGTACAGAAATTCTCAAATGAAAATACATGTTCTTGAGGGACTAGTATCAGACTTTTTGTTACCCTGGGCAATCTCTGCAACTCCAAAATATGCTGTTGGACTCCTTCCTAAATTCTAAAAATTTTGCTGCCCAGTATGGACGCACTGCTTTTGGAACTGGCTCCATATACTTATTTCAGTTGACAGTTATGTAATGATTCACTTCTAGCTGCTTTTGTAATGGAAGAGTTCAGACATGGCTATTTGTTGTTCAGCAGTTGTCAAATGCTGTAATCCACAGTGATTTTTTCTTTGGGCAGGGAGATGAAATACAAGATCGCTAACCACTATACAGCTAACATTGCTAACCATTGTACTGATCAGGGCAAGGAGGTTAGAATACATGGAGATGCCCTCTATGCAGTCCAAGTGAAGCCAAAAAGGGAGGAAAGCATGCCCTTAGTAGTCCTGGCTTTTTGAAAGATTGATGAGCTCTTCAACCAATGAGGCAGAATCTAACCACACCCAGTTTTGCTCCTGTCAGTCGTAAATTAAAGACCAGGGATTCTTCGCTCACTTTTTCCTTCACTTTTTGAGCCATTTTATTTTATTTCTACATTTTCTAGCATCTTGTAAGTGGTTGCAATATTGTTCCAAGAAGTGATTTTTATTCCTGCCAGAATGGTAAATTCCTGCACCACTTTCAGCTCTACAAATAGAAGAATAGACGGATCCAGCATTATATTCCACAGGTAAATATTCTTTTAATATATACTATAATTTATTTAAGTATATTTTGTTCAAAATTAGAAAAAATTTGCTGTGATTGGTTTAAAAAACATAACCAAGAAAATGGCTGCAGGTGTTGATAATTGTTATCAATTCTAATAATTTTCATGATATGAGTCATACTCCTTAATTACTTTTACATTGTAAAATGCAATGAAAAGTACATTTTTCTGTGCATCTATATGCAAATAGTTGATGAAATGTCATTTATGAAAACATAACTTCCCACTAGTTATGATTAAGCATTTATATATGCATTTTTCTGACAAAATTCAAAGCATGTTATTTGGTAAAAAATTTATGCTTCTTTTTCCTTTTTTGATATATTAGTACTTTTACTGAATCCAGTAATTTAATATGGGGAAGATATGCAACTACAGTTGGTTTCCATGACTGAAATGTAAATTTGAGTTATAGTTCACTTGTTCATAATTTCTGAAGTATTTATTTTTAAAAATCCCATTTTTGAAATAAATGAAAAAGGATGTAACCTTGTTTATACTTTTAATAATAAATCAATGTTCCTTGAAGTTTAAAAAATAGTTTATAAGATTTTATAATATGAAAGTATTATTTGAAACCTATCAATAAATCATAGTTAAATGTAAATAACACTTTTTCTTCATATGACCAAGATAATAGTTGGAGGGTACATTATAATGATTATAACTAATTCTTGTACTTGTGTGCTATAAATATTCTTGCATAAAAAAGATATAAAAAAGCACTAAACATTTTTTGGCGTTATAAATATTTCAAAAGAACTAGTCTAAAACAAATTGACTATATTATTTTTCAGAGTGCGGAAAATACTTTTCCTCTTACATGTTTTAGATCATGATGACACTCACCATCAGGCTTTGCCTTACTGTACTTAGAATGTTTCACCAAAGATGCTTTTTGATGTTCAAAAGAATTCATAATTATTTGTTGTAGAGCTCTATTTGACCCCTCTTAAAGCCACTATTGCTCACCATTGTCTCAGTGGATAAGTTCATTGAAAATTGTTGGTAGTTACACGAAGATTTAAAACTCGCATCTCTCATAATATATGAATATGAATCAATTAATCTAAGAAGGTCTTCCACAGAGGCATTTGTCTTATAAGCAAACAGCTGCATTAATTAATCAACAGTTTTATATTTATGATGCAATGTTAAAATTTATTTAGTAATTTTATATGTTACTTCTGTATTGTATCATTTACTATACGAATCTTATTAACATATTTATTTTTATACTTCTTTACCATATCGATTTTTCTTTTACAGAATTTTTAAAGATCCAACATTTAGAGAAGCATTGGTTCAGGCAATACGATATAAAGATTATAAACCCTTCTGCAACTATACTTCTTTGTTCTTAACATTTTAAAGATGATTTCAATAAAACAATGCTAGCCACTTTGTAACGCATCTTATTTGTAGAAGGTGTATGTATATATATTATATATATATATATATATATATATAAGGATGTGTGCAAAAGGTATAATATAAGGATGTATTATTTTTTAATAATATTAAAAAAATTTTGTTTTTAATATTCGTACATAAAAATCAAATTTAATATTATACATGAAAAATGTATGATTTAGAGGCATATACTGATAATGTACAGTCTTCTTCTTATTAAATAATTGTCCACCACTGGCAAAGCCAGTGCTCTGGGTTTTTGTGTCTGCCTGCAAATTCAGAAATAAAACTTTTGAGGAATTTTTAATTTTTATTTTCTTTACATATTGCGAGATTTTGAGTGCAGGGAGGCATTAATAATCTGTTGCATTTTTGTGAAATTTCTTTTAAACATAAATTCAACATGCATATAATATTCATTTGCCAGCTATTCAAGATTACAAGCTTATTTTGTTACATACATCTGTCATACATATGATTTCATTTTTAACATTAAATTGGATTTTGAAAATGATTTGTCTAAAGTTGAAGCATGAACATGTAAAATCAAAAACATTTTAAAATAAATTGCTTAAGTTGTTAACTATTAAGATAATGAGTTTAAGCTTCTCAGTTTATCTTTGTTATAGCTATCTCTTTATCTAAATATCTGTAGGAAAATGTCATTCCTATGTATATCTTTTTAGTTGCAGTTTTGCAATAGCAAAAGTAAATATATTATCACTGCCAGTTATTGTTGATCAAAGATTTAAATGCACGCAATATCCATAAGCATATAAAATATATTAATTCTGAAGTTATCTACAGGTTTGTGGTGATTCATTATTATGTTTGCATTGAAATTGTCATGCCCTGTGCCAAATTTCATTTGCATGCATAAGTTTTGATTCTTCATTTGTCTTCATCATTATTGTTTTCCCCCTCAGTTTCAAATGCTTTCATTAATGTATGTCTGTTCTCTAGTCCAATAAAATGCTTTTACCTTTCACTGCTTTATAAAATAAGCTTACTATTCATCTTTTATCTTTGAAGTGTTTTTTGCTGATATTTTTTTGTAAGAATATGATTTTAAATTAGTGGATAAAATATGCATTTAAAATATGATATTTTATTGCAAAAAGTTTGTTCTTCATGTTTAATTTCAAATTAAAATTATAATTCATAATTTCACAAAAGAAGACTCTCGGATTGATTCCCTGGAGTGTTATCCTTCAAAATTTGGATTTGTCTTCCCCTTTCTCTTTGATGTAAAACCAGTTGCCCCCCCTCTGGTGTACATTGAATAATATTTTTGGTGATGGAACCCTAAATGGCTAATATATGTTGGTAATCCAAAATTTCGTATTTAGCAAATGTTTTAATTTACTGTAGCAACTAATTTTAACTAATGTCTTTCTTTCTGAATGCATAGAATAAGAATTTTAAGTCAGTCCCAAACTCTGTGTTATTAAACCTTGCCTTTTAAAGAAATCTTTAAAAAGAATCCCCCCCCCCAAAATTCTTAAAAACTGCATTCAAGTAATGTCCTACTGTGTAAAACATAAATAAACATATATATATTTTAAATACATAATATTTGTAGATTTCCTTCTTTATACTGTAAAGCAGAATAAAGTATTTTACACTTAATAAAATATTAAAATTATAGAGATCGTTAACACATTAGTTTTAAGCACTTTTTTTTCAAGATAGAGTGATGACTTTTCAAAATCAAACAGTAAACAGTTGCCAGTGTATTTCGATGTGGAGCAGTGTGGCTTATTACAAAATCTATAAGTTTTTAACTTTCGATTTTTATTACACTTGGTGCAGGATAAGAGCATAATTATGTAGGGAAAAATTTATGTCAAGCATACTTTGAATTGATACATCTTTTCTATTTTATTTTATAACATTATTTCTTTAAAGATGTCTTATTTCTGCCAAGAAAGTAGTTAGTCCACATGAGAAATGTGTTTATCAGATAATTATTCCTTGGTTATAGATCCAAAACTACCAATAAAACTTAAAATGATTACAAATTGTTGATTACCCC